CATGCCTACTCTTGTTACGCGCTTTGTAGGAGAGGCCGTTCCTAGCTCCCAAGACTGTGCGCTAAAGCTAACACACCTGCATCTCTCTCTCTCTCTCTCTCGCGATCCCGCTCTCTTTGCAATCTCTGCAGTTGTGGCACAAGTCTTCATTCTCCGGCATGGTCTCCTTCACGAGATCGTAAGACCCAGGACGATTTGTTGAAGACATCACATCTCTATCTTGGACTGGCAGAGGCAGGCAGGCGATGATCAGAAGCTACATAGTCACCGTGCGGCCACGGATCCTCTGCCACTTCCGCCATGCCCGGAGCTCAAAGTTCAGATGTCCACCGGATTTGCCGATCACGAGGAACTGAGTATGTTGTGCTGCGTCATGCTGCTGCCGATGAACCACAGTCTTGGCACTCAGACTGCTTAGAGTGTAGTGCTGCTTCAGAACTTCAGGGTGCCCTGTGCGAGGACTTTGTTTGCCCTGCCCATGGAACTATATGGCCGCTGCGAGTCGAGAACACACGGAAGATGCCACGATGGACCGCCAGGCGACCTACATCATCTTTGAAATAAACCGAGACGATGCTGGAGGCTGATCCTGCATCAAACTGTGAGCGACACTCCATGGTCGGTCGCTTCGTCACTTTGATTCCAGACAACGTCGAGGTGGAATGCAACACATGCCGTCTTTAGCACCATGCCTTTTGTGCTCGGAGTTGCTATGTCAGACTGGTCTATCGGAAATCATTGCCGGGCACCGCTACAGCACGGGCAAACCGAGTGCAAGCAGCGTGGCATCGACAAGAGCCGCAGACTTGGCGGTTCAGGTCGGCAAGCAGAGCACACGTTCTCGGAACTTCTTGCAGGAGCTACTTGGACCCAGGAATCAAAAGACACTTCAACTGACAGGAACGTTGTGCCGCTTGCGACAAGGCTAACAGAACACCTACAGTTGCTTCGCTGCAAGGTACCGTGCCAGCAACTGCGTGGAATAGGACTCCCGGTCAGGTTCTGCACCTGCCCTACGCTTGGACAGCGCAACATCAACCCTGTGGATTCTCGGGAACACCGCGCTGCTTGAACTTAGAGCCACTGGTCTATTCGGATTCAAGTGCCCATCATCAACCAAAAAGTATCGGGGAGTGAAAGAAGTGGAAGGGTTGATATCTTTCAGGGTTGCGGCTTCTCGACCAAACGAGTGGGAAGCAGTGGCGAAGGTGAGTGTGCAAAGACTGGCAATGAGGTTGAGTGTGCGGATGCTGGCACAGCCTCCGTGTCGCGACAGCTGGGCTCTTGCAACTGACAGTCAGGCAGCCGATGCAAGTTGCTGGGACGGTTTTGCTTGAGCTGATTGCGAATGGTGTGACTGCGCAGCTCTGTTCAGAGAACTACCGGAAGCTGCACCTTCCGCTGCGGCACACATCCCACTATCATTCAAATCCGCTTGCAACTCACAGCTACCGAAACCAGGCACCCCGGAATGTCCCGGCAGCCTCGCCGGGTCTATTTTGGACAGTAAGTAGGGTTTACTGGCGATAGCACCATACCTGAGGACTGGGGCGGGGTACAACTTTCGTCTCAGCTGCACGACTTTGAAAAGGCACGAGTGTGCTCCTAAATCATTCCACCGAGCGTGCGACTGCTGATACAGCGGAGAATGACTGGTGGACCAGCTCGGCCCGCTTCCAAAGCCCGGTCAGGGATGGTCCACCCGCTTTTCCAAACTAGTAATAGTACAGTACAGTAGCAGAGTAGTTCGATTCTGTCTTCTGCCACTAGCAAACGCAGCAGACGCGTCCTGAATCCACTGAAGGCAAAAAGGACGACACGGGCAGCTCTAAGGAGAGCATCGAAGCCAAAATACGTTTGGCAACAACCCGCCGTCAAGATGGCCCTGCGGTGAGAGCACCCACAAGCTGACAGCTCGCAAAATGACTCTAATCTGATTGACGAAAATGCGGGAACAGACATGCACTTCGACGAACTTTGTGCCTTGGAGCACGGGCAGACTCGTAAGGCCGTCATATAACAAGCTGCCACAGAACAGCTGCGTGGAGGTTCAGCGTGCATCCGACCGGTCATCGTTATGTTGTTCTGGGACAGAAGTGCTCACTGCTGACACCAGTATTCTGCATTGCTGGCCATCCAAGCCAAATTGTGGTCATGGGCAGGCGTCATATGGTGGAGGACACGGTCCTCCGCCATGCCAGACGCTGACCCAAAGACAAGATGTTGCAGCCCGGCTATCCAATCTTCCAGACATGCCTCTACCTGCATGTCGCCATATCAATCCGTATAGAAAGTAATGATTTCAATTGTTGAAGTTGTTGCAGCTATTGCAAGGCACGGACAGGAAACCCATGGCATGCTACCTCAATCATCTTTGGACTGCGGCCTCGATCAAAGCACCTGTGCGCCCAAGTACCCGCGCTCTACGGCAGAGGGGCACTCAGTGAGGCTCTGAGACTCTGAGACTCTGAGGACCTGTGGCAGGAGAGGCCACTTTCACAACTCGGCTGCTACAAGCTTGTGCACCGAGAAGTAGCAATCTCACTCCCATATCATTGCTGCGAGAACAAGAGTTACATGCACCAAGCACTTGGCTGCTTGTGCGGTCAGCACCATAACGCAAATACTCCATCAAAACGCCTGTGATTGGGATCATTCGCGCGCAAATTATGCCCCGGCCATGCTGTTGCGAACAAGTTGCACTACTCACATCGTCAGCGGCACGCGAGGGTCCCAAAACAGCAAAACTGCCAGTGAGACTAAGACCATTTGGTCTTCACTCCTCACCTCGGCGGGGACTTCGCATGTTGGAGCCCTGATATCGCCGCAGATAGGAAACCCCGCCAGGTAATCACCCGCAGCAGAATTCTGTGCTGGCTCAAGCGACCATCTAAAGCTCTCCCTGCCCCTTGTCACCGAAAACGATGCTGAAAGCCCACTAGCAAATGTCTTAAACGCTTGCCCCCGTGACACTATAATTATCCGCTTTCTGAGCTTCCGGAATTAGGCAGCTGGCTGTTCGGGATCAGCTCGAGTGGGGGCGGGCCCTTGGCTCTCAGGCAACTCAGGCAACTTGCTCGTTCGAGTTGCCCCAGGACACTCCCTCACCATGGGCGAACTTCCGGTGCATCAGCACCGAAATGCTCTTACGAAACTTGCACAGGTCCAAAGGCTGCGGTTGCAACAGCATATCCGAGATCCGCACATCATCGTCGCTGTCCTCGTCATTCTCTTCCAGGACAAGATGATCAGCATGGACCTGCTCAAGCTGCGGTAATAGTCCCGCTGCTGCAGTGGAGACCGAATTCTGGAGATCAGGTGAACACTCAACATGACAACCTTTCCTGCACATGTTCACTTCACTGTCACATGATGCTTTTTGGAGGATCGCCACACACAAGGCAAGCTGCTCGCCTAGCCTTTCCCTTTTCAGGGGGGCTGTTTCGGAAACATCTTGACGTAACCTTCGAAATCTCAATGAATACCTGACACAAGCCTGCAAAGTCTGAAAGTTGACAAGGCCATTATGCAGACACCAAATCATGCGGCTGCCGGGAGATGCCGGGAGCAAGTTCCGAGTCCGCCCCGGCCCCCGCCTGTGGGGCCACGTCGCTCTCCGAATCCCAGGCCAGGCCTTCGTCTTCCGATTCCTGGAAAAAGGACGTGGCTTCGGCTGGAGGGCTTGGAGCTTTGGGAATCCGTATATCTGTCTTTCTCCCTACCTTCAACTATTTCATCTATGCCTACTCCTGGTCAAGCTAACTCTCCATGCACCATAGCATCGGACTTCATCACGTCAGAATCAGAACACTTATGATATAACCTGATTGCTGCCCACCCCGGGACCACCCTTCTGATGTCATCCCGATACACATCTCTGAGCAGAGTTCCGATCATCAGCTCTCTAAATCTCCACAAGCAAGCCAACCCGGGGATCAGGCCACCAGCGCCGCCTGTGCAGAGGCAGCCGCGGTAGTGGAGGTGCTGGAGGACGCCTTCCAAAGGGCCATCCTGTTTATCCTCTCTAAATGGTCTTTTCAGATGCACAGCGGCAATCAGACGCAAAGAGAGCAAGAAGGAGCAAGGCCTGAAGTATGACCCCCTCAACCCCTTCGATTCCTCTAGGTTGGCTTCGATGCGACTCTATACACTTGCAACGGTCGCAGGATGAAGTGTTGGGGCTGAGACAGAGAGGGGACTCAGAGTGAGAAAGGAAGACTGCCGGAGGGATGCTGACGATGTTTCGGAACTACTCTCCATTGCAATGAAAAAGAGCCTCGCAATTTGATGCAACTTGGATCTCTATGCGATGCCTGTGCCAGCGATTGCGACACAGAGCGAGTGCAAGCTTCATGGCCCTTTTCGTTTTCAAGCCTGTGCTTTATGCCAGTTTCTGGCTGCAAAGCTCTCCATTCGTTATCCTACGTAGCAGATTGGTGCATCACCTCCAAAGTACTCCATCGAAGCTGATACGGAACCCGACTGGCAATCCTAAAGACCTCCATGCAAGACAGAGCTTGGCGTGCCAGGTGTCTTCAAAGATGCTGACAAGGCAGTCGCACAGTGTTAAAAGTGGCTTCGTGCCCATGAAGCCAGCGCAGCTCAGGACACGATGCGGGGCCGGAACTTGCGCTTCGGCTTTGGAGGTGGCGGGGGAGTTCGCTTCCCAGCCTGCCGAGTCGGAGAGCCCCAAACTTGGGGGTTCAGGCTGAAGGAGGGGCTCTCGGGCTAAAGGCCTGTAGTCTACAGAAGGCCAAGCAGTGCCGCCTTATGATAGTCGCTCAAGACACGCAAGGCCCTGCATTTCACACATCTTTGCAGGGATTCTGCAAGCCACAGAGCAACGCTCAACCACAGCATCGCAAGGAGTAGGGGGGCGAACTAGCAACCTGAGGTTGCTTTACAACAGCTAGCAGAGCACAGATGCGTTGCTAGGACTTGGTTCTTTATGCTCTTTGCACTCTGCAGACACTTCTTCTCCTCCGCATCCAACGTTTCCGTCATCGCCCTATATACAGTCTCGACTCCCTTCGGCCAAGCCAGGAAAGCGGTGTGGCACCAGCAATAGATAAGCTCGAGCCCTCCTCTTCATGCTCGGGTTTCAGAACCTTGAGCTCGGAACAGGGCTGGCCCTGTCCCTGAGCTTCAAAGCCCGGCGGTCCGACATCTCCCAAGAGAAGCATCGCCGTGAAAGAACCCGGGAAAATCTCAGGCAAGTTTGTGGATCCGCGGGTGAGCTTCGATCTCAATTGGTCCAACATGTAGGTGGACATGGTGTAGGAAGGCTCGATCTCCAAAAGGCGGAACTGCTGCGTGGACTGCTGCAGCACGTCTAGTGCCCGGTCAGATAACATGGTGGAAGATCGAATCCGAAGTCTGCGAAGGGTGGGGAGGCCCTCCACCAAATGCATGACTGCTGCGTCCGTCCAGTATTCTGCCCGATCCAAAAGCATGACTTCGAGTTGGGGGCATGCCTCCACAATCGAGGCGATGCCCTCATCATCGAAGGCATTCCAGTTCAACTCCAGGCTTCGCAAGTTCTCGTGGCCGGACCACACACTTGGCAAGCCACCCAAACGCTGATGCAAAAGACCTTGGGAGAAGGCGCGCATGCCAAATTCCTGGTCGACTAGAAATGAGAACTCTTGCAACTCTGGTCCCATCTTGCTCAGTAGTCGCACCAGAGCCTCATCCGGGTCTTCCAGCCGTCGCTTACATCCGGAAAAGCGTGCTGAGCGTACATGGAAGACTCGCTCGTCCATTGTGGCCAAACACGCGATCACATCGTCTGACAGAAAATCGAATTGCAGGCTCTGCAACGATCCCAGTGCCATCAAATTTGCCAGCAACGGCTGCTGGCCAGGAATTTCAACAAAAGGCGGAAGGAAGCCTTCCATGAATCGACTGCTGCCACGGCTGGATTCGTCGATGGAGATGGCAAGGCTCTGCACCAAGGGAACGGCTTCCACAATTTCTTGGATTCCGAGGACGGTGCTTGCATCCAGCTGTGCACCATCCGGCCGGCGGCTGCACGGCGAGCTCACGAGTGACAGCTGGGTAACTTTGCCCTCTGCCGCAATGAGCGTCATGCAAAGCGCCTGCAGCAATGACGGTGTGAAGACCGCTGACAGCGTTACGTCGCGAAGTACGGGCGATTCCACGCAGCCCAGCAGCTCGCAAGCAAATGATGTGGACTCTGCATCACCAAGTCTCAGGTCGAGTCGGCGCAGACGTGGCAGCAGCAGGCCGGCAGGTAAGGCAACTCCCAAGTTCTCACGCTGGAAGATGAGGTCCAAGGTCAAAGCTTCCAGCCCACCGCAGGCACGCAAGAGCAAAGTACACAAGCTATCAATAGACTTCTCGGCGCAGTGCGTTCTGAAATGAAGCCGCGGCCAACACCTGGGGTCCAAGGACGCTGCATGGAAAGTCTTGCACACCTTGGCACAGCAGTGCATCACTGCCAGAGGATCAGCGAAGCTTAGTGCGATTGCGATGCAGCTGACAGGCACGCGCTGCCGGCAAAGGAGAGCTGGGCCCACACTCTCCGGGCCGTTGACGGGCCCGGGAGGTACCGCGATGGACAGGAACCTCCTGAGTGCGTTTGTGCGGGGCCATGGCTCAAGGGCAAGGAGCGAGCGTAAGTAGGCCTCGATCGCACGACCCTGGTCTCCCACCCATGCATTGTCCATGGTGAAGAACGGTGCCCTCGGGCAGGGCGGCACGCGATGGTAGCGCGCCGACATTGCTGCAGAGAGCAGATCGAGATCTTCGTAACTTCTGCTAACCACCTGTCCCGGAGCGCCAGTGATGGAAGGGGGCTGCACCATGAATTCAAACGCCACGCCGGCTTCCACGAACACATGCCCCACATAGGCTACACCAAAGCCCTCGATGCCGTTGTCCCGTACTGGCAGGGCTTGCGGAGAGTTCCCCATGGATGCGCAGCACTACCCTGCTCAATCCGAAGCGTTGCACACGACCTGTCGCTGCTTTGAGCATCTGGTCAACATGGCAGCGGCGACGAGGGACTTTCCGGCTGCCAGATCACCCAATCCAAGCCTGACAAGAAAGTCAACTTGAAAGCCTTGCCGTTAACGCTCAACTTAAACCCCAGCTCATTTGAAAAGAATGCCAGCCCAAACTCACGGGTGAGGACCTAAACCTCCACACCCACATCATTCATGCGTATCTGTCTCTGCCTCTTCGTCCTTGATAGCTCGCTGAGCCATCTGCCCTTGCGACCATGAGATGACTCTCACTGTTTCCAACATCAAGCTACAGTATCAGTATGCGTATGCGCCGTGCATGAGCCTGGGCTCTGCTGCGACCCTGGCAAAAGAGGGCGAATCCATCTCCTGCACGTCATACTACTGTGTATCTTCCCTATGCTTCTGCACATGATGCATCCTGATGTCACACCATCGGTCTATTCGCATATTTAGCAGAGACACGGGCGCTTTGACAACATGAGCCCACAAGAGAGAATCAAGCAGATAGCACTGGCCTGAGTGTTGTATTTGTGTGGAGGCTAAAGGTGGTTGCAGCAATAAGCACACATGACATAGAACAAAGGTTAGCATACACGTGCTCTCTGAGCCACGCCACCAGCGAAGGGTGATGGAGCCGTCATGTACACACAAAGGCGCACATATATGTTCAGCTCTATGCAGGACAGGGCAGGACAGGCCAGGCCAGGCCAGGCAGACAGGCAGGGACAGACCAGCATCAAGACCCGAAGTATCCCGGCGTGCATACTTACAGCCACACGTACACAGACAAGCACATGCAAGCACAAGCACTTACCTATACGCATACCGCATACAGATGTATTATTCACATGCATGCATGCATGCATGCATGCAGCATAAGCATGCTTATGCGTGTCTATGTCTGCGTGTGTGCACAAACATAATTATAAACTTACATGAGCGTGCCTGTAATGATATGCTACATAATGTACCTCTCATGGTGTCTATCTATCTGTCCAATTGTCTATCGGTCCGTCAAGCATCCGAGAAAACTGAACCTTGCATGTATCTAGGACTTGCGGCCATGTTCTTGCAATGTCCTCGTAAGTTGCAAGGGCAGCTGTGGCTGAATCGCAGCGCTCCTTTCCACAGCATAGGTGCTGTCGTGCAACACAACCGTGCGGTGCTGGCACATGCTAGATCTAGCCAAGCTGCAATGAACTCATCGCTTCTGGAGATGGAAGAGTTGGTCGAGGTGGAGGCCTTTTCAGGGGGCCAGGCATCTCGTTGCAGGTGGAGGCCAATCATCTCTCCGCAGCTCGGCTCGCGCCTCGCGTCCCAGGGCCTGGCCTCCGGCCTGGGAGGCACCGTGGTCGGGACCTGCCTCGGAGGCTTGGGCTTAGGGGGCGTTGGCAGAGGCAGCTGCTGGAGCAGCGCAGCTGCGGCCGCTTCCCGAGCTGCCTGCACACCGCGACTGCACAAACTGCGACTTCAAACCTGCTCAACGTTCTCCACGTGCGCCTGGGGGCTCACCCCTTCGCCCGTCCCTTCTGCCCGACGCCCACCGCTACGCTGGCTGCGCAAGATGAAAGTCGCATGCCACGGCGAGGCTGGCGGCGGCCTGTTGCAGCCATATATTCGGCTGCCGATACAACACGGACTTGGGGACTGTGCCAATTAGGTGTCGTGGGCAGGGCAGACCCTTGTGTAGTGACGTCCTACCGCCTTCCTGTTGTGTTTGCGGACAGGCCTGAAGGTCACCTCTTCCCTGTACTCGTCCTCAGCGGCAGCACCCCACTTGAGTCGCAACAGCGCACGCAGCTGCAAATCTTGGCGAAGCTTTACACAAATGGACAGCGACCGTGCACTCCTGAACATGCATGTCACTGCCAATCGACGTTCCGAAGTCTCCGATTCGACTCCAAGGTTCGGGTGGATGCTGAACAAAGGCATCTTGCAATTCGCGCAGCTGGACGAAAACCTCGTTCATTGATTGTGCCAAGATCGTCTGACACTCTCTACCAGCATCCCCACGCAATATCAGGTCTCAGGGCCTCTTGGACTCTCCGAACTTTCGCAGACGTTCCATTCCCCACGATAAGCACCGGAGACAGAGCCAAGTTACAGGAGGCCCCCGCAGAGCCGCAGCACCTAGAGGCTTCGAAGGCAAGCTGGCGAGTTGTGTTCTTCGCGGAGCCTTAACATTGCAACTGGTATGAGATGGCACCCTTCTGTGAATTTATGGTCATCGGCTGCGGTGCTCCTGCTAAACGGAGAACTGAGAGCTGGCCCTCCTACACCCATCCGGCCGGCCCGCCCGGCGCCTGCTCGGATGCGCGGTGGGATGGTCCTCCCCTTCCGCAGGGCCCGGGGTACCAAGGACACGCGGCCGCCCGGGCCAAGCGCCTGAGGAAGTGAGCTCAGCTGGGCAAATGTTGCTTCTCTTGGCTTTGCAGTCTCTGTCAGTTGACACGTGCAGCCAGCTCGACCTTGTCCTTCAGTCGCCAGCGCGGCGGCTTCGCTTGCTCGAGCTCCTGAGGTCTGGAGTTGAGTCCAGGTGGCCGCGCAGCCCCGGCTCCCGAGCGGCTTACAGGAGTAAAGGGCTCCAGCGCTTATTCTGCAGGATCGATTGGCAGGCTCCTGAATGTTTCTGACATACTCTCTGTCGCCAGGCCGTAAGACTTTGGAAAGCAATCTAGTCTGGAGTCTAGGAGGTAGGATCCGAGATTAAGTGGCGTCGGTGAGCACGGTTGTCCTTTTTCTCATTCACGGTTGCACATTTCCGCTTGTGCTTTGCCAGGTCGTGTGCCACAGTCCGATCGGGCGAGGTTGTGGCCACGGACGAGCCTTTCTGAACTGCCGGCGGTGGTGAAGCTTGCCGGTGCAATGTTGATGGGTCTTCAGTCCACCGTGTCGGCGGCTGGCGTCCCGATGTGACCAGAATTAGTGGGGTCCGAGACCCTACCTGCGCGTTCAAGGTTAAATCCCGAACTCCAAACTCAAAGATGCAGCCTGAAGCCCCAACATGCCCCAACCCAGTGCCTTCAGCATCAAATGCGAAATCTTCTGCTCCACGGACTTCTCGAAGGAGGCCCTCTCGGCGCGGGAGAGCTCACCTCCCGAGCCCCCAAAGCAGGAAAACATCCACACCGCTACCCTTCGGGGCCATTTCGGGAGCACCTCCGGGCTCGCTGCACAATGCTGACATCTCGGGATGCTAAACGTCGCAAGGGCTTTGCCCCCAAATCTGTGTCACCCTGACACGAACTCACACCCTCAAAAGCTCTGAAAGCCTTGAAGCAAGCTCTTGCTAACCGAGGCTCCGTAGGAGAGCTCCTGCCCGTCCACCGGCTCCACTGCAGCTAAGCATTCTAGCTGCCGAGGCGGCGACAGGCTCGGTAGCCTCAGAGGAGAGCTGAAGACTATTATATATTATATAATATGTTATTATATAATATGTTATATATTTTCTAGTAATATACAATATAGACTGAGAGATCAAGGCTCCAAGCGTTTTCGAGTATGCGAAGGCTGCATGCTGCAGATGCGCTCTCTGACAAGAGATGGGCTGAACTCGAAAGCTTGACAAACTCGCAACAGAACTGGGCGATAGTGGGGTACGCCAACCTGAGCTCTGCTGCCGAAAGACTCCATTGTGGCCTTCAGCGAATCCGCATCGAATCTAAACACTCCTTAGTCCGGTAGTCGCTACTATCCACTCCCAAGTCTGAGAAGCACAAGTATTGGTGCGGCACCTAGAGGCCGCAAATTCTGCAGTACAAGGTTCTGTCCTCCGGCGTCGGTGGTCGCCCCAGGAGATGGGACATCACGTCGTCAAGCGCTGCTCTGACAGCCTTGCAGGCGAGAAGGTGAGTCGCCTTCGGCACCCAACGACTCTCCTAACTAGGCTGTTCGGTAGTTCTGCACGATCACGTCGACCACATGTGACGGTGGTCCTAGAATGTCCTAGAGGGCATGCATCCCTCCCCAGTGCTGGCAAAGAAACAGCCAGCTCCTCATCAGCGCTGGCCTGCTGGACAGTCGCACAGGAAGTTGCTGAAGCTTTACCGCAAGCTTACGCAGGGCGGAAGCTTCACATTGCACAAGAAAATGCGACCAGCAACGGCACGACGGCTCAGCCCCCCGCATCGCGCTCACAAGTGCCGGCCGTGACTGTTCGCCGCTTGGCAGGCGGAAGCTCCTTGCTAACTACGACACCGGCGAAAGATGTTGCACGTAGCAACAAACGCCGGCTGACGAGCCATTCTGAGACAGCAAAGCTGCCGAGCCCGAGTCCGAGTTGCATCTTCGGTCAGCCGCCGCTGGCGCTTGCGACGCGGAAGTTCTTCCCGTCCAAGGTTCCGCCGCCGCACAAGGACACGCATTGCGACAAGCACGACTTTGCCTAGGACCAGGAGTGTAGCCCGAGAAGGTTTGAAGCTGCTGAAGAGTGGCGTCAAGCTCTGCAGGGCCGCTCATAAATTCTGTTTAGGTGTACTGCTTTGTTGCTTGCACCATGTCTGCTCCATGCAGCACTGCCAGCTGTCTTCTGTGTTCGCATGTTCGTGGATTTCACCATGCGACTGCAACTTGTGAGCCACTCGATCACTGAGGCAGGATGGCCGGGCATCTGTCAGAACCTCTTTGACTGATACCAACACCAGACTCAAGACAACGCCCTCACGACAGCGGACCAGGCCGAGACAAGCTTTACTCCCAAAAGTTGACCGACCAGCAAGCATGCAGTCGTCTATCCCCACGACTGGACAAACCCTGAGCACTGCCTTGGACTTGTGCTGTCCTCCTTTCAAGTCCTCCATGTAGTACTTTTTGATCTCCTGCACAAACAAAGTTGGTAGATGTGGTGAGTCACGACATTGGCAGCACTCCAGATTGTATGTTCATCTAGCAACTGCCGGCGATGAATCCGGAATTGCTGCTTTCAGGCACAGGTACAACTGCTATAAGCAAATGGCTATGGCTGGCCATTGCCTTATCATTGAAGTGGGCTACTACTGTTCTCGGAAGAGCTTTGGTCTGCACGCCTTGCATTGTAGTACTGTGACGATGGAAAAGAGCCGCAGTCTGCTTTTGACTGAAGACACCTAGACAGGATCCTCGGCACTCTGAAGCTCCACGTTCCGCGCGGCGTCGATCTCTTCCGCCATGCGCGCCGATTCCTTGTGCTGTGTGCACGACCCTAACATTCTGGTCTTTTTCCCACCACGACTTCGACAAAACGTAGACAAACCAGGACCTGCATGGAGAAGAGTTGGGAAGTCAATGGAAGTGTGTAGCCCCTAGGGCCCTAGAACCTTCATCTGGTTGTCACATGTTGTGCGAAGGGTTCTGCAGGACCGGCACGAGCCTCCAGGGCCCAACGCAGTTGCGCCTCTTCGTCAGCCTGCAGTGGGATAGTATCGAGAGCGAGGGCACCACAAGTCTTTGACAAGGTCTGAGCGCTTCAGGCGCTCCGAAGAGTCGTGACACGCAAACGCCGGATCTCTGCATGCGTTGCCGAACAGCTCCGAGGCTCCGGGAGGAAAACCACTCAACCCAAAACGACTCTGAGGCCTCAAACGTAGCCTGTGACGCGAGAAGCGCCTTGGAGAAATCCTGCTCCTGCCATGCACTTGAAAGTGGAGGCATCTTGGGGGCTGGCTGATGTACGGCCCCCCCTAGACCTGCTACTTCAAGATATAGACTCTGGCTCAAAATCTGTGACCACCCCCGAAGAAAAGATGGATGCCCTATATTATCTTCGGCTTTGCCCATGTTGCCCATCCCGTGCAATGGAAACTGAAAATCTTTCGGCTATCGATGATTTAGAAAGTTTGCCCCAATATGCCGCGCCTCGGAGAACTGCTGATGCTCGGCCAGAGAATTCAGCCAATTCTTCATCACTGTCTGGCACAGATCATCGGGAATAGCGGGTTTCTCCGGTCTGGTTCAAGCAGAACGCATTAACAGGCTTGCAGCAGGCGAAAGCTCACCGCTGCAGTGAGCACGCCTCATCGTGGCTGCCGTATCCGGATGCACCTCCGCGGTACAAAACAAAAAAGCCCAGCAACACCAAGTCACTCCGGTTAGCAGAGAGCTAACTCTGCATTCCGACAGTACGTCTATGCCTGGCTTGCCACTTCACGCAAACTTCTTGCAGGGCCGCAGAACACAGGGAGTTGTAGCAGACCTCTTGACACAGCTGTTCTATGTACCATAATGTACGATAGTACTACTATAGTATATTATATACAAGTATCATGGTTTAGTAAAGTTAGTATATTATTATATACTACAATAATTGTATACTATGCTTGTTAATCGTCTGCCGCCCATTTTGTAGCAGGCTGCTCCTGGGCCTTGCCTTGGCGCGGGCTCGAGGGAGGTGGATTTCGTCCGGTCCAGCCGCCAGAACTCGGCCTCATCTTCCGTGGCGGCACCAAAATGGATTGAGGGTTTAGGGCTTAGATTACATCAACCCTTCTGGACTACGTAATGGAGCAAGAAGCCCTGTCCAAGCAGGCCCTACAGGTCAGCTCTCGAACGGCCGAGCTTGAGAACTAGACCATTGTCGGTCTGAAGTCGCATTGAAGGCCATTGGGTTGGCCTGCTGCAGGTGCGCTGGCAGCAGTGCACGGAGGAAGCAGCGATTGATCTTGGATCACCGTGAGAGCTCTCAGCACAAAAAACTCTCCTCGGACCCGTTTGCACAAGTCGTGCTTGCATGCGCCTGTTGGCGGAAACCGCTTTGCAGGCTTTGCGCAAAGGGCCTCAATCTCAAGACATCACAGGAGAGCAACCAAACACTCGCACACCGTGATGCTTGTTTTTCCACAAACTTTATAAATACGTGTCCGTGTTTTGGTGTGTGTGTGTGTATGTATATATATATAATGGAGAAAGAGAGAGAGAGAGAGAGAGAGAGAGAGAGAGAGAGAGCGAGAGAGAGAGAGAGGTGTAGCATCAAAGTTCTCAGAGCCACACGAGCCACGGCCACCGAAGTCGAAGTGCCGCATGTCCTCACACATACCACAGGCTTCACAGAACGAGGTTTGCAAACAACGGATGCTATCCTGGCTCCATGGCAAGCAAACAAGATTCTTGCGGCTTTGCTCCGGATTCTTGAAGAATCCGAAAGCTTACAGGACCCCTGTCGCAGCAGAAGCCTGGCAGCCGCGTGCAGCTGGCAGCGGCCGATCCTGACGAGCATTCAGAAGCTCCGATTTCGGAAAGGGGGTTCGAGGGGGGACTCACCTGTCGGAAGTTCGCAACATGAGAGACAACGGAAGTCGTAAGAGACGTTTCCAAAGCCCTGCACTGCCCAATACGAAGTCATGCCGGAGATCAACGAGCCTAGCCTAGGAGGCCAACAACTCTCTGAGAAATCTGTCGCTTCAACCCAGTCAAGCAAATGCCTGTAAAACCGAGAGAGGTGCATGTGATTCCATGAGATATCGTATTATTGGTGCATATAGACATGCTGTCATTCCCTGCCTGCGCAGAGGGCCTGGGTGCCGGAGTCGGCGCAGGGGCCTTGGGGCGCTGCACGGGGCGGCCACCTTTGTCGCCTCGGGAGCTCCGAAAGCCCAGCCTGCTTAGACTTAGACTCCACGGTAGAAGTTGAAGCGTGATAGTCGTAATCTTGGGAACACTTTGAGCGGGAAAGGGTGATGTGTCCAGAGGTGAGATCTGGCATGCAGAGGTTACACAAAGTTCCAGTGAGTATCTCGGCAAGGCACTTCCATGAATCGCAGAAAGCCCACGGCTGTGATGCAATAAGAGCCCGGCAGAAGAGCCCAAACATTTGGACTACTGAGCCGGGGCCCTTCACCTCTTGCGGACAGAGTGGCACCAGGTGTTGAACAAGTGGAATGCAAAACAACACAGCCTGGACGACAGATGGTGCCAGCGGCACCTCATCGCTGTCGTCAAGCACCTTGAATCCAAAGCGCCGACGCGACAAAGGTTGCCAGTTCACCAGCAGCGCAATTCGGCTGTAGAAGCATTATTTACCGTCGGGCATCGATCGCGATTTGGCACCAGAGAAAGCACGAGCCTTGCCATTGGATGCAAAGGATAGCTTCTTGTGGTATAGAACCTCTCCTGAAAGCATCGAGTTTCTATGACGGCTCTACGATGCACTCGAGGTCCGGCCTTTTGCTCGCTCGCCGATATGATCCTTCCAAGCTGCAAAACTCTTCTTCCATTAAGCCATGGTAAGAAGGCTCTCTCTGGCATTTTCTGGGCCTGGCCCCGAAACCTCCCTTTACGACTCCATACCCATGGTACATACAGAATGGGCGACTCGGCTCTCTGTGCGAGCGGTGTCTGCTGGTGTCGGAGGGCGTTCCACAGCATGAGCCCCGAAGTCCGAGCTTAGGTATGTCCCCGGTAGTAGAACTCGCTCTCCCTCCCTGGTCTCTCTCCTTCTTTCTCTGGGGCCTTCTTCAGCACAGTCAAGAGGCACGAGCAGCCCTCGCACCCCCTGCGGGATGGGCATCTTTATTTCTTGCTCTCTCCAGGCTCGATGTGCTGCTCTCTTTCTTTCGGCAGGGTTAGGGACAAGGGGGGGGCTCTCTCTCTCTCTCTCCCTCTTCTCTCTCTGTCTCTCTCTCACTGTTACCAGAAGGGCCTTCAGCGCCGAGGCCGTGATGCTCTCGGCTCCTACGCAGCACCACAGCTGCGGAAGTGTTGTCCGAGCTCAATCGATGTTGCGGATTATCATGCTTCGATCCTGCGACTTGCAGGTCCAAACCTTTCCCTGCCAACCCACTCCTTTCGGAGGATGAAAGCAAACAAGATGCTATACAAACCATGCGGATATGCCCATGGTCCCATTCCTGATGCCAGTGTCCTTGTGGCAATTCCCACCGGTACGACTTCTGGAGGATCTGGGCATCAGGAACCAAACATCGCGAGCTGTAAGGGTTGGCTATCCAGTCCTGCCTGATCTTACGCACTCATGTCACTCGTTCGCAGGGGTGAAAGCTGGCTCTCATTCTCTGCTTCTTGCAGATTGAACGTGCATTGCCGGACTTGGACAACACAATAATGAATCTCGGCACGGACACTTTCCGCTGCAAACATCAACTGCATCTCCGAATCAGAAGGTGGCCTCCAACGTTAGAACGGCCATGGAGACAATCGACTTTTTTTCACAACAGGCTAAGGCAGTGCAGTTGTGCAAAGGTTTTCAAAGCTGTGGCCTGCTTATATTAACACGTAAGCAGGCTGCGTGCTGAAGTCGTCATGACCATCCTAAACGAAACTCACCGGTGACGATCCTTGCACCATGAGGCCATGAGGGCAAACTGTGCCATTGCTACCGATCCAATATTCCGCATCCTATTCCGCATCCTACGATGCTAGGTCTGAGCCGCTCAAAGCTGCAATGGCTCTCATGTGGCCTCACAACCGGATCACGTCTAAGAGCAACCCAGTTCTTGTGGTTCTGACGAATGCGGACTGCTACCAGGATGAGGCTGCAGAGGACACCTTTGTGCTTGCACTTTTTGCACGACATGCAAAGCTCCCGGAGCAACGCTGAGGAACAGCTGAACATCAAATCTGCTGTAAAGGCGCTGCCAATGCCCTGCAGCCATCAACCCACGGGCTCCGCGATCCTACAACCTTCGTTGTTTGAAATCCCACTGAAGCCCCTCTACGAGTTTCCCAATGGATGCGATGCAACCCGAAAGCGCTCACGCAGGTTTTGCGACCGCGCCGCGACAAGGCCTCGCCTCAACATCTCCTCTGGCAGACCCTGTCCTTGCCCATGCCCGCCTTCCCGCTCCTGGCATTGCCGGCGGAAGGTATGTAAAGGGATTCTGCCTCCGCGTTGCTGAATTTACACGCTTGCCCGTAGAGCGCTGCAGAGTCAGTCTTCGCTGTCTTTTCCTCTTTGCCTTCATGGATTTGCCCCGTTTGGACCCAGAAGCCTTGCATCACCGAGCCCCGTGTGCACAGTGCACTACGAAGCCCGGGTGCAGAGCTAGCGGATCACCAAAACTGGTGCGCAGCCGCTTTTGGCGCAATACGCTGTGGCAGAGTTGGTAACAAAGCTGCGAGGACCATGACAAGCTGTATAGTGTCGGCCTGCCTCCCGATCATCCCTCCTCACCCACTGCCTACTTGCAACAGCTAGTGTCTAAGCAGACTTACTTTGAGTGGCTTCTCGCAGCTCGCCACAACCCCAAATTCGAGTCTAAGCAGTGCACGTCAGAAGTTGCGAACTTTGACCATCATCTCGCCCGATGCGTTCAAAGTGCGCTCCTCCACCAAGAGCTTGCCTTTCTTCAGCAACTGGTCGACGGCATAGGCCAAGTCGTGATGAACGACAAGGCAATTCGGGCTGCGGATTTCCACTAACCTCTTGAACACAGGCTTGCCACCCCGCTCGGTGATGTTCTTCCTTCCTTCTGACTGGTATCGCTCGTTGTTGTCGCCAAGGGTTGCCGATTTGAGGCCGCCGATGAGATCTCTGAGCTCGGAATTGGCGACGAGATCACGCAGGGTCCTCCCATGCGCAGTTGCAACAAGTTGCACCCCACGCTCCCCGATGGTCCGAGCCGCCCGGGCTTCCCCCAACGTGCCAATCTCATCCACGACGATGACTTGGGGCCCCATGTTTTCGAGGGCGCGGCCCATGGCCAAGCGCCTCGCCTCACTTCGATCGACCTTCTCTGCGGAATGCGCGGCATCTTTCCAAGCTTCTCCCACAGCTGGATGGCACGTGTCCCCGGAGCCAGCGATCTCGCCACTGGGGTCCACAATCACGACCACCTGGTCGCTCGACAGGTCTCCTGCGCATGCACGCAGCAGGGTCGTCTTGCCAACCCCTGGCGGGCTCAAGAGCAAGAAAGAGCTTCCGTCTTGGATGATGTCCTCGATCACGGAAGCAAGCATCCGCGAGGACCTCCCCACTCTCATCGTAACGGTGACCGGATACCCGTTCTCGTTTCGATTTACAGAGATCCTGTGGAGAGTGCGATCGATGCCTGCCCGATTTTGCTGGTTGAAGCGGTCCTCGCCGATTCGGTCACAGACGATTTCGTCGATATGCTCACGGGAGATCGGGGTGTTGGCAATCGCAGCTTTCCGTAAGCCTCCTTCGAGGAGCGCACGCCAGCGAATCTCGATGTCCCGCCCGACGCCCAGGACGATCTCCACGACGTTACTGCTCCCATCCAATCCATTGATGAACTCGCGCACCTTCTTCAGCTGAGCTTCAGGCAGCAAAGTGATGAGTTTCTCGAACTCTTCGTCGTTGTCGCTGCTGCCTCCAGAGACCGTGTTCACGTCAGCCTCGTTCTGGTCTGCACTGCCTTCGTTTCTTTGGTACAGACCGGGTCAAATCAGGAATCTATGTCGTCTGGTCAACTGCTGTCGGGCAAAGCATTGCATTTGCCGGGTGTCGGACCAACAATGCATAGTTTCCCGTTGACGAAGCAGAATTCGAGCTCGCAGCCTGACAGCATGGCATGAGGTACGTCATGACTTTGCTATGACGGTTTGAGCTCTGTACTCCGGCAAGAATAATTCGGGTTGCGCGGCCTGGGGGATAGGCGCCCAAGTGCTGTCCGGGCCAGGACCGAAACTCCTGCAAAGACTTCGTACTCTGCCTTATGCATAGTTTGTGAGCTCTAGTTAGACTCTAGTTGCACTGCCAGGAGCAGGGCCGAACTGTCGACTACGACATGCTTCTATACATCTTCACAGAAGCTCCTCGGTGCGTGCTTGGCAAGCATCTCGAAATTGACTGGCTTGGTTCGCCAGGGCTCCAGACATCTCCTCTGAAATCTTCACGAGTGCCTCCGCAACCTCTGCGAGAAGCTCCGGGCTCCAGGCAGACTCAGCCTCGGATGACGAGCCGGCCTCCTGCACCATGATGTCATAGGCCCTAGGAGTTTTGGGCTTTTGCAGCACTGCTCGTTCTCGGAGTGCGTTTTCGAGCTCGTGGTCATAAGTGCGTGCCATCTCCTCAAAGGTGCACCGGTCGCTGCTCCTTCGCTTGAAGACGCTCCCAGGCCTCCACGGTATCGAAGCAAGCCTCTAGCTGCACGTCGTACTCAAACAGCAGATCAGCCAGCGGACGGCAATCGTGACAAACCTTCACAATGTTCCGGTTTTCCAGAACCTCTTTGAGTGGGAGTAGCAGCTCGCTGAAGAGGGCCTCCGTCGGACGCTTCTCTGATAGTGATTCGACGTCCACAACGAGAGGCTCCACATCCGAATCTGCACAGATGGCGATGTACTTGAGGTGACCATTTCGCAGTAGCTGACCAGAGACTGCAACTCCAACGGCTCTACCCTGAAGAGATTTGGCCCAGTTGCCGGTCAGCCTTTCTTCAACATCCTCTTGCACTGCTACCACGACGGGCCCGTCCTCCTCCTCCTCTGCCTCAAGAGCATCCCGAATGCCAGCCAAGATGGAGCCATCTTGAACAGCTCGATCGGGCTTACCCTGATCTGCATCCCCTACAGGTGTCTTTTCAGTCGTGGCTTCCTGCGCATTGAGCCTCTCCCTGTATTTGTTAATGTTTTGCTTCTTTCCGCGACCCAAGTGATAGATCTCAAAGTCTGTGAGCTTCCCCAGCTCTGTCAGCCTCTGCCTCACCTCCGGATCTTTACTGACGTTGGACAGCCACAAAGATCGGGAATACGGCAGAAGCTTATCAGCTCTCGAAATCGCTGCAAGCCGATCAGGTTGATTCTGGCGACCGACCATCGGCGAGCCAAGCACAAAGAGGGCCCCATCACTGAGAGCTGATAACTGATCGCGTAAGTCGCTGTGAATGCACTTCTCAATGTACTTGTTTCGAGATGTCTTCAACGGACCTAGAGCAACAGCTGCAGGGCGGCTGTTTTGTTGCTCACTGTCCCAATAATCAATGACCTGCTTGCTATGTCGATCCTCACGGCTCAGATTCAAGAGCTCTTGGTCGGAGAAGGAGCTCACAGCTTTCCGAAGGTCATCGCAGATCTTCTTCTGAACAAACTGCTCACGACTCATGCAGAAGCAACGCGCCCCCAAGGCTTCCGAACCCTTGAGGCGGTCTATCAGCGTGCCCTGGTCTGCAAAGGGGTGCTTCCCAAGGCTATTCAACTCCAGGTCGGACAAGTGGTAGATCTCTGAGTGTAGCGATTGGTGCACATGCTTCTGAATGAACTCGGCGCGAGTTGGCAGCTCAGGCATCCCGCACAAGTTCTGATTGGCGTTGCCGGGATGATCAGATGCTGTTACAATCGGACGGCGTCGGTCCTTTGTACGATCTCCAGCCTGTCTGAGTCTCTTGGTCATGCATAACCCAGCAAGGACGCCGCCGGCATGAACACCGACAGATCCTGCAGGACACACAGATCTCTTGCCGAATCAGCAAACACCGATAACAGGACAGGAACCGCGCAAGGAACGTCGCGAGAACAGCTCCAACCTTGCTGAATCGGCTGGAGAAGCGAGTCCTTCATGGCAATGACTGTGTCCCGAAGCAGGTCCAAGTCGTGAAGGAGGCAGTGGCCTGGTGCCCGGCGGTGCTATCCGTGGAAGAGAAATCGCAGCCATATGTAGATGCTGGAAGGCGCTTGGGGCCTCGACACTACGCATCCCCGAACCGAAATGACTGCTGAGAGCTGGAAGTTTTCAACCTACGACAATACGCACACAGAGAAGGCAAATGATGCCGACACCCTTGTGCTGTCATCGCTGGACTGTACATGAGCATCATTAGAAGCTGGCCTCCAATGTTAGAGCGGCCATGGGAATTATCGACATGTCTTCACAACAGGCTAGGTCCAGCTGCTCAACGCTGTTCACATTGACATGCTGTGTACCGATCCTATATTCCAAGCATCCCACGATGCTGGGTCTGAGCCTTTCAAATCAAGACCGCATCGGCTTTCGTGTGATATTGCAACCGGACCATGCTTCCCAGACTGTAAGCTAAACTGTTGTTTTCCTTCTGCAGCTTGCAGAATCCTACACGAGTCCTCCAAGATGTGAAGGGGACACGATTATTCTTTGTGCTTCGTGTGCGCTGTTTTTGCGCACGCAAAGCTCCGAGAGCAAAGCCGAGGAATGCACAAATGCTTTGGACAACACGTCTTCTGTCGAGGCACTGGGAGTCGTGCAAGCTCTTTCCTCAACCTGTCTGCAACTTGGGAAATTCGGAAAGCCAGGATGAGCACGCCATTCTCGGACTTGCGCCGGTCCATCGATTCCTACTGTCTCTTCCTCTCTGCCATGTGACTGCGACTCTTCCGTGAAGGTGCTCCGTTGCTTACATGACGGTTTGGCGCAAGTCGGATGCCACGACCCTGGGCCGCCGCTTCCTGAGGGCTTTCCCAGCTTTAACCCGTTGTGGAGATGCAAAGCCCGTGCTCAATTCACGAAGCCTATCGGGAAGCGGCGAAGCTACGGTGCTATGTAAACTAGTGCAGGCCCACGGCGTGGAGCTTTCGTCCGCAGCCGGGACAATTTCAGCCAAGGCACTGCGGCATTAACATCACGATCAAGGCTTCAAGAGGCCCTCGCTCCAGGCGCTTAACACGGTGGCCACCTCCGTGCCTGGCCAAGTGAGAACATGTCCGGTGTGCGCGGGGCTCCTGAGGTTAGCTTTCTCTCTGAGCTTCTTGGCAAGTTCCCACAACCAAGTCACAAAACGCCTTCTCACTGATAGATGCGCTGCAAAGCGCTGAAGCCGCGGCGGCAGATTGGACACGTTCTCACCTTCAGCTTGCTGAAACTCTCGCAACATTTTCGCAGAAACCCTGAGACCCAGAGACTGAAGCTGTGCGCACAGCTCTGAGGATCTGTAGGAACCAGGCCGCTCGGTGAGCCCCTGCCACAGCGGACTCCGCACGATAAGCCTGCATCAGCTTGACCCGGTGCAGCGTCGCAGTACGGGGATGCCACGGGAGCAATTTGCCCTTATCCCTGCAAAACGCCCTTCGAAGCCTTCGTTGCTTCTGTCTTGGGCAATCTTGCAGGCCTCGGCACAGTCGGCGCAAACCGCGAGGTGGCCGTCCCCGGTGTCCGCATGCATGAAGGCACTGGCAGACAAGCAGATGGCAAGGAGCTCTGTAACAGCACACACACACACACGACATTCAACTGTGCACCGACGACGGGTGAGCTCCATCCACGAACCAACTCCCCACGCGAATTTTGCACTTGCATCCAGCATGTCTACACCTGAACAAACCTTATCTCATAAACGAATACAAAAGGGAATACTCTACGTGCAGAAGCAAGCATAAAGCCGTTGCAGTTCCTTCCAGGGGAAAGCGAGCACGGTGCGGCTGGGTCCGCTTGCGCTCCAAGCAGACTACACAAAGCTCCTCGGCCGGCGCCTTGGGTCGGAGCTGCAGTTTCGTGTCGCAGTTTTGGGTCAGGTGCGAGAGGATTTAGGTACATGTTCATGATGTCCAGACCTTTGGCATGCTGTTCGCCAGCTCAGGGCGTGGCCGATGGTGCTGCCTGGTCTTCGCCCTCACTGTCCAGCACTACGCGCCGGGCCTGTTCCAGCAGAGTCTAGGATTAGGGTTGCATCGAAAAGGCGGATCGAAAGACTGTCAGCAGAGCTGAGGTTTTCTTTGCTCAGGAGGGGAGGCAAGGGCTTCGACCTTGCCATTCGTGTTCACATGCGTTGAATAGCATCGCCTTCGCAGTCCAACCGCCTGGGCCCAATTTCCGCACCTGCCGAGCAGCAACTTCACGTAGCTTCGAAAAGATGATGAGATAAGTCATGCGTAGGCGTACCAGGCTCTGTGTCTGCCGCTCGTCCCCGAAAGTCAACTCGTAGCTGCCCTCGGGCATGCCACCTGCACTTGCAAACACTCGGTCTCTACGCAAACTGAGATTGCATCTGCTAGAGCTTCGCTTGAATCCGCACTGACGGTCGCGTCGCCCACAACGTGGCTTGTGAGGCTTGTGGAGCTGAACATTGAGAGGAAGAGGGTTGGAGCTCATAGGCACGCAAGTAAGGCGACCGAAACTGCTTGATGCCTTCAAGGGCGTGCGGAAGTTGCAGAGCCACCTGCAAAAGTGTTGGAGCGCATCAGAATCAGCTCCGCGACCGTTGGCACAGTTGCCCGTCGACAATTCGTGCTACTAGCTGCTGCAAAGCAGATGCAAGGCGAAGTACTACAACTACATCACACCTGCAGCCAGTCCTGGTGCAAATGTCAATCCATTCTTCTTCTCTGGCTGGCATGACGTGCATCGACTTCGTGTCTAACAAGCATGACAAAACACAGATGGAACGCAGCATTCTGTGCTGTGGCCCATGGCTCCTTGAAGTTTTCGGAAAGCAACGAACCACAGAGAAGAATGGCATCTGAATCTTAGGATTTGCAAGGTGCAACTGTGTCAAGACTCGCTCGGCGGACAGGAATCACAACCCGAATTCCAGCCTTGGGGTGACCCTCGAGCCAAGCAGCTTCAATGCTCTCAATGAGCTCCTGCATGCAGATCAGGCTACCGGCCCGCCACCCTACCCCAAACTCATGCCTATCTACAGGACATCCACAACACCTCCAGTCTCCTGTGGCAAGCTCGTCCACCTGGGCGCTTGTCGTGCTGCCGTGGCAGGCCTGGCAGCTCAGCTCAGGCCCGCGGGCAAAGACCAGCGTCCCACCAGCCTGGACCAGATCTCCCAGGTCGGCCGCAGCCGCTCACCGTCTTCGGACATCTGGGCAAAGAGCCGCGAAGGAAGCGAAAGCGAATCCGAACAAGCGAAGCTCCCTACTCAAGCTCGACATCCCGGGGCCCCTGCCAAGACCACCAGTGGCTCCTGTCGGGTTGCTTTAGCATCATAGCACTCAGACACCGCTCGCGACGCACATGAGTTACAAACCGGGATCATACGAGGCCAGCGAGGCTTCCAGCGGCTGAAGCCAAACATGGCAGGCTAGCGCTCATCACCTGACCACCTGACACATGGGCCTGGCAGGCGGCGCAAGAGACACAGAGTAAGGCGGATCTACTGCCTGCAGAGCAGATCGCACAGCTCCTCGCAACCGGCAAAATCCTCTTAATAGACTCTGACAAGGAGGCCACCAAAGCCGAAACATGTGAGCATTGCCGCCACGGTGGGATCTATGTTGACAGCCTCAGTATGCCATGACTGGTCGAAAATCTCTGTGGTACAATGCAGATGCCCCTGCACTACACAGTGAAGGCGGCATGGTCGAGTCAGCCAAGAAGCGAGTCGCAGAGACATCGGGACATGAGGCGGCAAAGCCACCTGGCCCCAATACCAAAGTAGTTTCTTTCGTTTCAGTTTCATAGACAGACTAATTAGGCTTCTCCGCAAGCTTCCAGCAGTCGAAGTCTGGAGCCAATCTGTGCCACTCCAGCTCTGGCCTGCAACCGGCTGGTCGTCACCTCGCATGAGTGCCCGCTCATGTCAAGCAGGAGCAGCGCAAGTCTCAAAGGCGTGCAAGACAGGCCATATTCGCGCGGCATGGCCGAATCTACCAAATCGAAACTGATGCAGTCCGGGCGTGCTGCCTGGGCTGCGAGAACAGCCCGGAAGACCTGTCCGGAACCTGTCTCGCCCCGGACTCTCTGCATGCATGCACACATACGCATACCCGAAACATCCACTGCGACCCTAGCATTCCGAAGTCAGGCGAAGGGAGCTTCTGATCATCAACATGAACTACGGCTGCATTTCAGGCATTTTCTAAAGGACTGCGAAGTTTTCATTTCTGAAGCAGAACCTAGCACGGATGCCTTAAAGAGGCCGACTGCTTGCTTGCGCTCCTCAACGCCCCTCATCACGGACTGATCAGAAACTGTCACTGGTCATGGCCTGGACGCCGGAAGAAGCAGAGGACGTCTATGGAGGATGGAAGAGTCCTGCAGCTTGTTCGGATCAGAAGAACTCAATGGAAAACTGGCAAAGTGGCTGCGTGCACTCAGGTTCTTCTGCTCTTAAGACCTGACATCGATTTTCCCTAAACCCTAAACCCTAAACCAAGCCATCAGGCACGCTTCTGAGGAGCTCACCCAGAAGAGAGCCGCTGGACTCCACGAGCCTGGATTGAACACAGAAGTTCGGACATCTGCGATTTATATATTATATATTCTTATAGTATACTATATACTATTATAGTACAGTATAGTACTGCATTTGATACAAGTACCGGAGAAAGCAAGATGGGTCTCCCCCCACACTCGAACCGCCGAGAGAAGAGCCTCACAACATCTCACAACTGAGATGACATCAAACCATCCCCGTCCACCGGACAAAACCGGCCTGGGCGGGTGTGTCACGATCTCTCCAGAGAAGCAGCGTCTGAAGCCATGTGCCTCATGGGCTTCGCTTTGCTGGCTTGTCGCCGCTTTGAGTGTGTTGAGTCCTTGCCCCTGTCTTGCGGAGTCGGTGAGACAGAGAAAGGTCGCAGCCTCCCTAAAGGCACCCGTGATGAGGAGCACGCTCGAGTCCAGGTCCGCAAAGCGCTGGGCCGAGGAAGCTGCAGGGCCCAAAACCAGCAGCGACTCCTCACTCCTGGCAATGCGTTCGGAGGGTACCGCATGAAAGGTCCTGGCACCCTGCGTAAATTTACGGGCCGGTAAAGGTGCATAGCAGTGCAGTCTTTTCTTTTGCCTTTATCCTCCATGCGACATGTTCGACTTCGCTGGGACCCAAAAGAAGCATTCACCGAGCCCTCAAGTGCAAGAAGAGCAAATGGGTCCACCACAACTGCGGCTTGGCTGATTGCGTGGAAGAGTGTGCGACAGAGCTGCAAGAACCACGAAGCACTGGGTGGAGCTGGCCAGCCACGTGATCATCCCCGTTGCACCCAGTATCTACTCGCAGCAGCTGCTGTTTAAGCATCTGCTGATGTGAACCAGACTTCCAGTCCGTTCTTGCAGCTCAAGGCATAAGCCGCTGTAAGCCTCAATCGGCCGAAGCGTCTGCAGGAAGAGTCTACCCGACATTCAACATGTGGCAATTGAGCTAATCCACGAATGCTCCCACATGGGCTGGTGGTGTTTAGCGGTCAATTTGAAACCTAAACGAATGCTGCATGCCCGGAGCATCAGACCTTGCCTTCATGGATTTGCCCCGTTTGGACCCAGAAGCCTTGCATCACCGAGCCCCGTGTGCACAGTGCACTACGAAGCCCGGGTGCAGAGCTAGCGGATCACCAAAACTGGTGCGCAGCCGCTTTTGGCGCAATACGCTGTGGCAGAGTTGGTAACAAAGCTGCGAGGACCATGAAAAGATGTATAGTGTCGGCCTGCCTTCCGATCATCCCTCCTCACCCACTGCCTACTTGCAACAGCTACTGTCTAAGCATAGTTACTGTGAGTGGCTTCTCGCAGCTCGCCACAACCCCAAATTTGAGTCTAAACAGTCCGCGTCAGAAGTTGCGAACTTTGACCATCATCTCGCCCGATGCGTTCAAAGTGCGCTCCTCCACCAAGAGCTTGCCTTCCTCCAGCAACTGGTCGACGGCATAGGCCAAGTCGTGATGAATGACAAGGCAATTCGGGCTGTGCATTTCCACTAACCTCTTGAACACGGGCTTGCCGCCCCGCTCGGTGATGTTCTTCCTTCCTTCTGACTGGTATCGCTCGTTCTTATCGCCAAGGGTTGCCGATTTGAGGCCGCCGATGAGATCTCTGAGCTCGGAATTGGCGACGAGATCACGCAGGGTCCTCCCATGCGCAGTTGCAACAAGTTGCACCCCGCGCTCCCCGATGGTCCGAGCCGCCCGGGCTTCCCCCAACGTGCCGATCTCATCCACGACGATGACTTGGGGCCCCATGTTTTCGAGGGCGCGGCCCATGGCCAAGCGCCTCGCCTCGCTTCGATCGACCTGCTGAGCGAAGTACGCGAAGTCTTTCCAAGCTTCTCCCACAGCTGGATGGCACGTGTCCCCGGAGCCAGCGATCTCGCCGCTGGGGTCCACAATCACGACCACCTGGTCGCTCGATAGGTCTCCTGCGCATGCACGCAGCAGGGTCGTCTTGCCAACCCCTGGCGGGCCCAAGAGCAAGAAAGAGCTTCCGTCTTGGATGATGTCCTCAATCACGGAAGCAAGCATCCTCGAGGACCTCCCCACTCTCATATTCACGGCGACCGGATCCCCGTTCTCGTTTCGTGTCACAGAGATTGCCATCGATGCCTGCTCGATCCTGCCGGTTGAAGCGGTCCTCGCCGATTCGGTCACAGACGATTTCGTCAATATGCTCACGGGAGATCAGGGTGTGGGCAATCGCAGCTTTCCGTAAGCCTCCTTCGAGGAGCGCACGCCAGCGAATCTCGATGTCACGCCCGACGCCCAGGACGATCTCCACGACGTTACTGCTCCCATCCAATCCATTGATGAACTCGCGCACTTTCTTCAGCTGAGCTTCAGGGAGCAAAGTGATGAGTTTCTCGAACTCTTCGTCGTTGTGGTGGTTTTCTTCAGACACGGTCTTCGTGTCAATCTTGTGAATCTCGCTCTGGTTTGCGCTGCCTTTGCTGCTAGAGCTGCTAGAGTACACTTCTTGCATGCACCCGTTTGATCCTGATCCGACACAGACCCCTGGCAACCCAGCCTAGTTGGTAGGCGTCCATGCACGTGTGCCCCGGCCAGGACCGAAACTCCTGCAACGACTTAGTATGCTGCAGCTGCATTCACAGCAGCTGCTGATTCCTTATCTGCATGTGGCAATGCTATCACAACTCATCACTACTAGACTGTCCAGCTGCTCCTCATTCTCCTCCTCTTCCTCCTCTTCCTCCTCCTCCTCTTCCTCCTCCTCCTCCTCTTCCTCCTCTTCCTCCTCCTCCTCCTCCTCTTCCTCGTCTTCCTCCTCCTCCTCCTCTTCCTCCTCCTCCTCCTCCTCTTCGTCCTCTTCCTCCTCCTCCTCCTCCTCTTCCTCCTCCTCCTCCTCCTCCCCTTCCTCTGCCAGCGCGGACAAGTAGTTACCAACTCTCGTCGCCTTTCGACCCATGTTCGAGACCTGGTGGTCTGTGAGCTTCCCCAGCTCTGTCAGCTTCTGCCTCACCTCTGGATCTTTACAAACAACGGACAGCCACGAAGATCGGGAAACTTGCAAAATCTTGTCAGCGCTGGCAATCGCTTTAAGGGCAGGTTTATTCGGGCGACCGATCATCGAGGAGCCAAGCACAAACAAGGCCCCGTCACTGAGATCAGACAACTGGTCCCGCAGGTTGCTGGGAATACACTTCTCAATGTAATTGGTGCGAGATGCGTTCAACAGTGCCACGCACGCATCCGGATCTTCCAACTCTGCATTGTCCATGGTGCCTAGTCTCAAGAGCTTCTGGTCGGACACACAGCTCAGCCTCTTCCGAAATTTCTTTTTGATCGTCGCCTTAATGAACTGCTTTCGATGCATGGAGAAATAGCGCGTCCCAAAAGCTTCCGAACCCTTGATGCGATTGATGAGTGTGGATTGCTCTTCGAGAGAGTCGCTTTTCAGGGCATTCTGTCCAAGGATGATCAGCTCCAGGTCGGACAAATGGTAGATCTCTGAGTGTAGCGACGGATGCACGTGCTTCTGAATGTACTCCGAGCGAGTTGCCAGCTCAGGGATCCTACACAATCGTCTAGAGTTAGATGCAACTTGTAGGGTTGTACCGCGTCGGTCTTGACGGCGATCTCCAGCCGGTCTGAGCCTCTCGACGGCACAAAGAGCGGCAGAGACTCCGAAGGCAAGGACTCTCACAGATCCTGCAGGTCTGGCACATGTTTTTGCGGAGGATCACGGCTCTGCACACGCTCAGAACAGAAGGCATGCAGAGTGCAAAGACAGCATCAGTCCAAGTTTCTATCCGTTTTGGCATGTCCTGTGTGGCTTTGCCCCTGTCCCTTGATATGTCCCAACCGCAAAGGAGGCATTGGCATGGTGCCCGATATCGCCACCCGTGAAAGAGGTGTCGAAGCCATGATGTGGACGCTGAGAGGTGCTTGCATGGGGGAAATACCAACTCAGTACCGATGGCTTGAAGTTAGATCTGCGGATGCTGTTTCACGAAGCTCTCACCTTCCCAACATTTCCCAATGCAGCCCAAAAAAGTTGAGTAAAAGGGTTATGCCGGAACCCATGTGACATAAGAGCTGTACAGCAACACCCAAGAATTTATGCCGAGAGGTGCCAGCTTGGCACTGGCGGAATGAGCTCTGCAATGGAGGGCGGAAAGACCTGCAACACAGAAAATATTCAAGCCAAGCTCGAAAGAGCGGTAGGCGAGCCCAAATGCGGTGATGCAAGATCTGACCAGCATAGTGACGAAAGATCGGGAGGCTGTGAGTGTTCAACGAAAGAAACCTCCGCTTTTCGCAGGATCGACAAGGTGCCTCTGGGCGTACCTCCAGCGTCAGTACCTCGCTACTGCTTGTGAAAATCAGGGCGCATACATTCAGTTGCAGTCGGAATGTAGGGACATGCATGTGCATTCTCTCGATGCATATCCATTCTCTCGAACCTGACTAGCCAGATTGTCTCTGGAGGTTTTGCGCTTACAAGTAGCTTGTTTCAGGAGCTGGCCGCAGCTGCGCTTCTCTGTCCTGCAATGTTTTCTGCAGTCACCTGCCGCATCCACATGAAGGATGAGCAGCAGTTATCTCAGAGCTGCAAAGATTTCCGTCCGACCGGGTGGCATACAGCTGGCCTCGACGAGGTAGTAGCCTGGAGCTGCAAGAGCTTTGGCCCAGCAGATCCTGCACGCTGCGTGGCTTCGCTGCGAGATCTCCCAAAGCTCCAGGAACTCGGCCTCTGCCCTGCCCGCATGTTCTGCGCCGCGATGCGCTCGCAGAGAAGGCGCCTCTCAGGAGAAAGACTGAGCAAAAGAGCCGTTGCACGTGGTGCTACCAGTGAAAGCACGGTTGGCCTGTCAGACGCTGGGCGGACCTCCGTCTGCAATGCTCTTGCAGGATGCAATCCGACAAGTAAGGCCACGAAAGATGCGGCATGAAGCTCAGAACCCCGCATGCTGGAGCTCTGCAGGTACAAGCTGCACTTCGAAGGCTGCGAGAGCGCCACTGGCGGCAGTAGCGATGCAACAAGGCGTGCATCAAAACACAAGAATCTGCAGCCCACAGTCCGCAGAGTTCACTGGAACCGCCGCCTTCCGGGCTCCTCGCAGCACTCCCAACTGACGGTCACCTGGCCACTTGGAAGGCTCAACGAAGACCTGTGCTCACACAGACCAATGCTGCGCGCTGGATTCTTCTGGCATCTTGCCTGTTCTCCTCAGAGGGTGCTACAGATCGTCTTCTTCTGTCTTCTTTGCCCAATCACACAGGAAGGATATGAAAGATAAAGAACGGCCACAGAGACAACCCACCTCTCCACTTAACATCAGAGCCGGGAGTGCCACGACTTGCTGCTCCGCATCGACGCTCACCGTAGCAACTGTCAGCGATGGAGCCAATTCGAACATGAAGTCGCGTGACAAGCTTTAAGGATCATACGAATTGTTTTTTTCGATACGCTTGCGGAGCCTGCACTGACCGGAGGGGCAGGGGCTGCAGGAGGGGTCGCCAGCGGCGTAGAGAGCGTCGACCAGCAGCCTCCAGGCTGCTCCAAGTAGCGTTCAAGAGCCACAGAGGCTGCCAGGAGCAGGGCTTTCTGAAGTGCGTTGGGGCTGTGACGTCGGTAAGTAGCACCGTTCGGGCTCAGGACATGCAGCTTCATGGTCGGCATTCTGCCTTCATGACAGATCCTGATAACGAAGCTTTCTTCCCATCGCCTGTGCCAAGGGCATTCGTTGCGGCCAAGACGAACGAGTACCTGCGCAGACTTCCAGTCCCATCCGAACAAGCTCCCAAACTCAGAGACCCAAGCGTCGATCGGGCCTGGTTCCTGGCTGCAGACCATCTACCCGAGCTCGACAAGGTATCTCGCGGGGGCGGGATTACAAAAAAATGCTGGGCCTTTCTTCGAGGATCAAACCGTGCCTCGCCGGAGCTCTTCTGCATGCCAGGATCCTGAAGCAACCGTGACGTTACAGAGCGCCCTAAGGCCTAAGGATTCCCTATGATTCCCTGCACCGTCCGATGGGGAAGAATGCCGTCTTCTCAGAAGACACATGCCCAAAACACGCAGTCACAAATGCAAGCCTTGATCTGCACCCCTGCAAAGGGCACCGCCACCTGCTTCACAAAAGAATGCTAAAATAAACTCGACAGCATCTATGCAATTTATGCACGGACAAGTCTGCTCACAGCATGCCTCCCGCTGAATGGTCTGGTTGGCCAAAGTTGCCCCTGCGCACGGCAGCTGAGCGTAAGCACGCAACCCCTGAGCCGTCAAAGAGCTCTCAGAAGCATGGCCACTCTCAACACAATTCGATTGGTCTGGCTTCGTGCGAGAACGCACCTTTCTACTGAGCGCACATCATGCTTGTGATTGTCAGTGGCCATGTAGTGTGTGACAGGACTTGGGAAGGTTTGTCTTTGTGTTTTTCCCTCCGGGATCAAGGTTGCCACATGCATGGGCCATTGTCGGGCTTCGAGCGTTCATGTCGGAATGGTCCTCTCCATACCATTGCAAATGAGTACTCAGACTGGCCACGTCCAGCTGGCAGACCACCCACGGTGTGGTGGTGCATTCTGGACGGCAAAACACACTTCGTTTACGTCCAGTGAACCACTCCCGCGCAAGTAACCTGCAAGCTCAAACTAGCAAGATCCGAGCAAACATGAGGGCGCAGGATTCGTCTCTTTTTGGCCGATTGCAGGCACTTAACATTGGGTAGACGATTGAAAATGAGCCAGACCAGGAGCCCTGCAGGCAATCCGCACTGCGCCTCCGGACCTGCGTATTCAGCGTTTGAAGAGAACTCTTTTTGCGTTGCGGTCAGGTCGAACTGCAGCACGGCGAAGATTACGGCGAGGCTCTCGGCTGGACCCAGGCATAGGAGGAATGTCACCGTCAGTGTTTGCCAGGCTCTGGGTTGGAGGGTTTGGAGTTTGGAACGGACATTCACTCCGTTGGCAGTGGCAGCACGGTTCCGTGTCTGTCAAGCTGCATGGTGTGAACATGTAGCCAATGATCACCCCGAAAGGAATCATGAAGATGTTGGCTGAAATGGGAGCCAGTCCCTGGTCTTTCAGATTCCTTTTGGGGGATCACGGACCGATACAGACATGTGTCTGGAATGTTTTCCGACAGAGTCAGAGGCTGCGAGATGCAGCCCGGGGTTGGCAGCCAGGCCCTCGGCCTGTCTCTCCTATAATATAAGATAATATAACATAATATAATGTAATATCATATCGTGTGTGTGTATATATATATATGTGTGTGTGTGTGTGCTGGACTCCGACCCCGGGGCATCCACGCTGGCGGGCATTAACCAAGCAAGCACGCTTGCGCATCTCTGCTTCACTCATCTCGTCGCCACCTGTTTCCACTGAGAAAGCAAGCGAGCTGCCGCTACAGTGAAACATGGGCAGATCCAGCAGAGCACGCGGACGCCATGCCTGAGCAAAAGCAGCTGCATCCATCAGCAGTCTTAGGCGGTCAAGCGCTTGTCTCTCTGGCGATATAGAGCTTTGATATATGCCAACCGAACTGCAAACAGGGGTTCCATGCAAAATCTGCTGCTGTAGATCCTTGAAGCTGGGATCCGGAATCCGGGTCATCCAGGATTTATCTGGCCAGCTGGGGCCGCAACACGGCACTCGTCACAGTCAGGTGGCTTCATCCTGTCATATCAAAATACGCAAGGAATCGCGATGCTGCGTCACGTCTCGTTTGCCCATCACATCCTCGGCGTTTTCTAGAGGGAGGTGGTTCGCAGCCTTGCGCTTCCAGGAGACGATGTCTGACACGGCACCCCAGAAAGGATCGGCGTCGTGCCTCGCTGCCACAGTTAAGCCATAGATTGCAAGCTCGGCATTCCAACCGTCGGAACACATGCAGACCTGAAGGAGCTCGAATCAATCATCTGAGGCTCTGTCGAAGACTGCGAGGGGAGCGGCTCATCCTTCCTAAGAATGAGGCTGTTCACACAAAGCATGCGTGTGCCCTGCCCTTCATAGCACCGAGGAGTTCTAGCCAAACGTGGAAAATCCAAAAAACGATGCTTGAAGAGCAGTCGGGATGCTCGTCGTCAGAGCCGAAGAGCTCCTTCGAGAGCAGGGTTGCTGCAACGGAACGGCGCTTGCCACCTGGCTGACTGCATCAACTGACGGATCACCTTTGGATTGCAGGTGGTTGAGATCATTTGCGCTTGGCTTCCCTACAGGGTCTAAGATCAGACAACCAAGACCTTGCGGTCGAGGGATGGAACGACCGAAGTGGGGCCTCGGGTTGCCAGCCAAACCTACAGGCTACAGTGCCTACACCTTACAGCTGCAAGCAAACCCACAACGCTGAACTAAACCGTGAAATTTGCGAGCTTCGAAACCCGCGACATTGAAACCCTTTGGCCGCTGGCCCTGCCTGGCACCGAGCCGGGTCTCCTAGCCGGACAGCGATGTCGTCAGGGAAGTAAACAGACCCAGACGGAATTTTCGTTTCTGCTGAGCTTCGCAACACTCGTTAAGTCGCGGCAAGCGCCACAAAGCTGACACCGTTCGTTTGACAGTCTATTCAAGGTTCTCCTTTGCAGCAGCGCTTGCAGGGCCCTCTCGTCGCCCTCCGGCCCACCTGCCGCAAGTGCATCTTGAGCAGTGAGGGGATCATGGCATGTCTGGGGTGGACTCGAACACCCTTGGCAGGGCCTGCTGGAATAGTTGTGAACGAGGACAAGCCTACTGTCGAAACTATCAGCTTCACGGCCCTGCGTCAAACAAGTCCTAGGCATTGGCCAAAACGTGCACCTTCCAGAGAAGGCGAGTCGGCAGGCCTTCCGCAAAACAGTCGTGGATAAAGACACAGGATCGCGTGCGGCTATGTTCAAGCTGCATCTAATGATCAATAGTCGGCTGGGCATTGCGACTTAGCTGCGACGACAGTGCTGCCAAACCCGCCCCACCTCTCAGCAGGAGCGATGCTGGCACCGGGCGGAGTCCTCCGCATACACTGACTAGCAGGGCCCAGGGCCCATCGACTCACCTCTGAGAATGACCATCGAACCCGGGGGCCACTCCTGAAGCGATCGTCGCCAGCCTGTGCTCAGACGCCGGGACAGACGGCAGCTCCAAGGGGGCGCGGAAGGAAGAGCAGGTGCCTTCAGCTCACGCTTCTGCGTCTCCATCCAGTCGTGCATCGCCTTAGAGGCTGATACATTGACCTGCTTCTACCCCTGTCCTGCCTTTCATCTTCTGTGATCTGAGGCCATCGCCAGCCGGCTGCGCCTTACCTCTCGGAGCTCCTGCAAAGTCGATGCTCGATCCTGCAGAGACGAGAGGGGAATGTCTCTCTCTCAGAGATGGCACGGGACCTTTAAAGTTGGCTTTCTGGGTGCTTAGTGCAAAGCCTGCGGCCTTTTGGAGATGGGCGAATCCAACGGATTGTCAAGGGACTCCGTAGGTTTCGCCTGGCAGCCTGCAACCTTGTTTTTGCTGTCATCAAAACAACGAAAGCTCGGCAAGGCTCTGCAGGTTTGTGGTGATCGTCGGCCCCTCAAAGATGCTTTTTCAAGCATCGGTTCGCTTCACCACGCGATGCAATGCATCGGAAACCACATCTGACATATGCGCTCGGACACATACTTGAAACTGCAAAAAACCTGCACAGGCAAAAAAACGCTGGTAGCTTGTGTCCTCCTCGTTGCTTTTGCGGCGATCGGATGGCTCCCTTGACCTACACCGATTGCAGGCACAGACACAGGCAGAGTGTTGACGACAGCTAGTTGATGCGATGATTCCCACAAGTAGTGGTTCCAGTGCCCATTGAAACAAGTCGTCGTTGATTGGTCTTACACGTGCATGTGTGTGTGTCATAGATTCGGTAGAGTGCAAGGCATGTGCAGGCATCAGGGGTCTGCGTCATGCACCTTGACCGTTCCACTCAATCCGGCGATGGAACACTGCAGCACAGAGCAAAGGCCTTGGATCTGGACCGTCTTCGCCGCCTTGTCTCATGGGCAAGACGGGACGGATAGCAGGTCGCCATGCAAGCTCAAACATGGGAAGCAACTCTTCTGGGCCTCCATCATCTGGTGACCGCGGGCCCCTACACGAAGCAGAGCGGGTGAACTCCCACTCGCAGAAGCTCAGCACTGGGTGACCCTGTCGCGTCTGAGCAACTGACTGAGAGAGCTTCCAGGCGCTTAGATCGAGGTTGGCCTGAACAGCGGGGAAAGCGAAAAAGCGCAGGGCGGGCATCCGCGGGAGCGGCCTGCTCGACTTCGGTGTCGAAGTGCTCGGAGCCTTCGTCCGAGGCTGCCTCGGCCTCGGCTTCCTCCGGGAGAGATCCGAAGTGAACCGCACAGTACAACACAGCTTCTGCATAGCTCGTTCCCTTTGCCGGGGCTCCTCTGCCTCCAGCGTCTTGCCGACCTTTCGGCGATTCATTGGCGACTGCCCGGATCGATACTAGCTGTGCACGCAGGGCCAGTCTGCCGCCCGCTCGAAAAAGCTCAGCACGTCACAACGCGCCCTTGCTTTGCATTGTATGACGTGTGGAGCCTTACGACAAGTCTGCAAGACTCTTGCGCGATGTGAACCCATGCAACATGGATGCGCATGACCCACACCCCCGAAAGTGGGCGCAACGCTCTGCAGACCTGCTGGTGGCCACTATAGGGGTTCCATTTCTCTGAACAAAAAACATGTCCGAGCTCCATCAAAGGGCTGGACATGTGGAAGACGTCCGGATTCGGAGCAGCTCCGCAGTGAATGCTTTCTGCCTGAGAACGACGTAGGGGCAGCACTGCTTCACGGCCCCGGCAGCTTCCCGAGGGCCTTGAGCCTGTGTTCCTCTTCCATCTCCTTCATCTTGCGACGCTCGGCTAAAGCCTCTTCCCTGGAGAGTGCCAGGCAAACCCGCGTGCTTCGGAGCAGAGCCCTCTAGAACGGCAGGACATGTCCCTTCCGCACGTGACGTCGCTGGGCCTCTGCAACCCATCCTCGGAGAAGTGCTGCGATGTTCAAGGCTGGTGTCTGCGACTTTAACTCCAGACAGAAGCTCAGGAAGGAGGAGCAGCAGCAGTCTTCGACCGTGTCTTGCCCGATGTATCTAGATATCGAAGTGGGCCAAGATTCGAGATGCAGGCGGAAGAAAGTCTCTGGTCGCACCTGACAACTGGCTTGGGACGCTAGCACTTGCATCTGCACAGTAGCTTTTCCTACACTGTACACTTGTGTGGGCCTCCGAAGGCACCGACAAAATCCCAGAACAGAGCACCTTGTTGCTCTTTCCGCGGCGGCGGTCTGCGAGCTGCCGGACTTCCTCCTCGGCCGCCTGTTGAAATCTGCCCAAATTGAAGCAACTGTTTGAGACTTCGAGAGAGCCGACGGGTGCCTTTCTGGCTTCCTCGCGCTTCTCCATCGCCTGCAGGCAGGGGCAGACATGCCAAAGGGCCACTGCTGAAATCCAACCACTCAAGAGCTTGCGTCCTCCTTCTGCTTCTCCTGACCGTAGTTATGCAGCCGCAGGACCTCAAGGCTTCTTCGTTGCTGCGTGCACCGTGCTTAGATTCTCAGATGACCTGCAAGCCTTTCCTTCAGAAATCAATCTGCATGCAGTTTCCACTGCTAGCGCCTGTACCCTGACTAAGCACCGCCTTGGCGAGTCACGTCTGCTGGCTGTGCTGGTTATCCGAAATATGTGCCCTCCGATTCGGTGATTCCACATTGGCACCAGGGTCACACTTCCTGGCTGAGAGTCTCTGCGAGATCATTCTGGCGCTCCTTGGTGAGCTTGACTTCCTGTGTAGCAGGATCAGGGTCTCAGAAAGTATGGGTCATGAGTTCATGTATATCGCTGTGGCTCGGCGCAGGGGGGGTAACGATCAGCGCAGGGAGACGCGAGCCTTCTCTTTCTTTTCCTTGATGGCCTGCAGCCCATCCTCGGCATCCTCCACGGTTGAAAAACTGCATTTTCTCTGCGACTCTCGAGTTCAGAGTCCACAGGTCACACGGTGAGGAGCAGCTTGAGCAAAAACTGCACCGCATGTTGTCAGCACGATGTGATGACGGGTCCTTCTTCTTCCTCTGCCGCTCCTTTCTTTTCTGGGCTTGCGAGTATAGGCGATCCGCTGCCGCGGCTGCCTGCCCGGTAAACTTGCTTCAGAACGGCACAGCCGCGACCGAACGCTATACAGTCTACAGTAGAACTCAGTGGGAACTGAATGGGGGGAGCAGGTGCAGCCATGCTCAATGCAGCAAGTAACTGCTAGAATCTACTAGAACAGCGTGGCACTTCCCGTGGTAGCGCACCACATCAGCTCGGCACGCTGCAGTCGAGACGGATTCGACAGTAAGGTGTCGCGGCGTCGCCTGCCCGAGAAAATCTGCTGCACGAGGGCTCCATGCACTCATCGAAAAGCCGCCCAACGTGCAATCCAAGTGGCCACAGGCGTGGGCTCCTCCTTTTTGGGTTCGCGAGGCTTCTGCAACCTCGTCCACACCGGCTCCTGTAGCTTTGCCGAGAGCTCCTGCTCCGGAGAGGGCCGCTGGCAGCAACAATCAAACCTCCTTCTGACGTGCGTGAAAAACCGCGCTCGTCAACCGTTTGCCACATCAGCTTCGGAAATTGCGGGGCGAAAGGCCACTACTTTTGCTGGGGGACAGCCCACAGCCCGTCCGGATTCGCTTTGTGCAGCCAGGAAGGGACGTCCCTCCTGGAGCTGCTGCGCTTTGAAAGCCCAAAACAGAAGAAGAGACGACTCCCTGGGGCCTCTGAAGCCTCAAGCAGACTGTGAGAAGGATCCCCTCAGACTTCAGCCGAAGGTGCCGGGGCTGTCGAGGCTTCCGGAAGTGCTCGTCAGCTTCCCTCTCCTTGCTTGGGAGCGGAAACTTTGGTTCAACACTTTTCATAGATCCAGGCTGGAGAACCGCTGCGCCGGGGGTTGAGAAGAGAGAGGAGGCTTGGGCTCTTTGCTGGCAAGGCTCCAGTCTCTGCCGCCTCTCCTCCTGCTGCGCCTTTTGAAGGAGCCCCTTGTTGTAGAGGCGCTTGAAGTATGCCTCTGGTAGGAGCGCCAAGCGCACCAAAGAGAAGAGGAAGCAAAAAACACAGACAGAACTTGACCACAGCCGCGCTGCATATGGAAGAAGTGAGGAAAAGAAATGAACACCTCCTGTCCCAGGCTGTTGAGATGAGAATACTTCTGGGCCAAGCTGCCGTGCTTCCGGTCTGCGCTGCGGACAGGTTGGGCTCTGGCTTCTTAAAGAGGCCCTCCTTCTCGTGCTTCTCCTGGCAGGCAGCTCTGGGACCTGGCGGCCTCGAGCACGGCGATCTGGGTCCTGCTTTCTCTTGTGGAAGTCCTTCGCCTCCGGGCGCTCGAAGGCTCTATACTTTGATGCACTTTGCGGGCCCCGGTCCCTCGGTCCCTCTCGGCCTCACGATAGAGCCGGTTGTAGAGGTCCTCTCTGGTCAACCGCATGAACCCTTCGTCCCCCGGCTCCTTCGGACAGGTGCCAGCAGCTCAAGAACATCCCTGGGCGGCCAGTCGGGCCTGACGCTTCGTCAGAGGCTGCGAGGCACTTCTCGGAGTCCTCGGAGTCCTCACGGAGCCCGGGCACAGGACGATCCGCCGAAAACTATGCAGGGGTCCTGGGGCTTGTCTCGCCCGGCTCTAAGGGAGCCACTGGGCCGGATGGTTCACCAACTGCAGACAGCTGCTGAGGGTTATCCAGCGATTGTTGAGGGATCCTCCTCTCTCCGTCTGACTGCCCGGATTTCCCGGACCTGCTTCTGATGGAACCTCGCCCGGTGTCTGGAAGGCCAGCCTCGGCTGGCGATTTTTCACAACCAGGAGCCTCCGAGTTTACCGAGTGGCCCGGGCTCGTTTAGCTGCTCGGCCGCAAGCATCCTTAAGGCTGCGAGGACTTCCAGACAGCCGCTCTTGACAGCAACAGAACCTCTACTGGTAGCACTTTCAGCTCGAGTACACAGGAACAAGGACGTTTTGGACCTAAGTGACTTCACTTAGCTGCAAGGTGTGTGGAATATCAACCTCATGTTTGATTTCACTCTGACCCCAAAGACCCTCAGCATGTCCGTCTTTCCCGCTGAGCGACCCGGGTTCGACGCGATTCGCGGCAACGCGAGGCAGGGACGGGCTCAGTTGTTGGAGCCAGCGCAGGTCCTGCCGAATATTTGGCCATTGAAGGCTTTGAGCTACTTGGAGAGCTGCTGCGAACTGCTTCTTCCGAAAGAATCGGAGTCTCCAACCAGTCCATCACAAGGAAGTCCTCGGCACGGACGGACGGCCTGGCCAACGTGTCGTGGCAGCAGATCCTCAGTTGCGCAGCTCTCACGGTGCCATCAGAGTTTCAGGCAGATGGCGTATCCTCAAAAAGCGGCGGTGACACGATGCCCATAACATCACAGCGCCAATGTGCTTAAAAAAAAGCTTAGCCTCCGCTGATGCCCCCGGCCTTGCGGACCTAGCGTCATTCGAAAGATACTGTCAGCCTCGCGTGCCTCCAGGATGCCCGAGACCAGGGACCGGAACTCCTGAGCCCGGGGATCACTTCGAAAAGCACAGCATACAGCAGCCATTTCGAGGCGCCTCCTTTCGGAGCCGCCGGCCGCCACGCAGGCCTCGGCGAATCCCGACGTGCACTGGCACTCCGCACGGTCTCTGCACTGTTCGAGGCGTTGACCCCAGGATTTCGCGGCCTGGTCCACGCCACCAAAGCGCGAAGCGAGAGCGGTGGTAAACTTCCCGAGCGCCTGCAAAGCACCAGTCAGCCGAGGTCGAGCCTTTGAAATTCGCACGACGGCTTCCACCGTCTTCACAACCAAACCTCGGCAGTGGGCCAATCGAGCTCGCAGATCGTGGCCTGTTTGCGGCTTCAATGTCCCTAAAGCCGAGTAAGGCCGAGCATTCCAGCCTTGCCGGACCCGTCAGCATCCAGTTCATGCCAGGCGTCACGGATATTGCCACGATAGTTCATTCGGCGACACCTCGCAAGTTCGCACACAGACCTGCTGACTTGACATGCTGCTGTTATGCGGATGATGGCTATTTCGTCTGACATCTCTGTTGTGACCCGACTAAACCACCGAAAAACTCTGTGCCCGACGCTTGCAGGGCGGTGCCATCAAACTGCAACTAAGAGCGAGACGCTTCACAGAACTCTGCATGCGTCACAAAGCCCGTTGCAGAGCCTTCAGCTGCAAGATCTCGCATGCAGGTCACGTGGCAATGCACCCCTCTTGCCCTCTTCATCGCTAGACAAGGCGGCATGTTGGATCCTGCGGCACTTCGTGCTATCGTCGTGCTTAGCCAGCAACTGTCCAAGATTCTTCTCCAGCCAGCAGCAAAAGTACCTGCCAGCTTGCAAAATCTACTCCGGGTGCGGTTGCAGTTGCAGCACCCCTAGCCCCTAGATGTACCAGGCAGTACTAGTTCTCACAGGAACAGCTTTGGAAACAAGTCGACGAGTTGAACAGAAATCAGTGTAGGAGCTGTCGAGCACAAACCTGGCATTCCCATAACACAGCGCTGACACAGACATCCAGACTCGGTTCTTCATGAACCCGTTGGGACACAAGGCCTTCTCGGCGCAAGAGCTCGGCACGGAATTGGCGCAGCGCTGCTCCAGAGTTCGGGCGCACTGGCACACAATGGAGTTAATCCGAGTTAGCGAAGTGAAAGCAGACATGATCTCTTATACCCTGCCCTAAATCCGAGCACAGGTTCGGGCGGAACTGTGTCAGAGCACGGCTTTTGTAGGCACGAACACAAGTCACGAGTAGTCGCGAGCAAAATGTGCACAGCATTTTGGTGGGAGCACGACTGTTCGGGGGGCGGACACGCCGGACTACGGCGGCGGAAGCAGAATTTCAAAGGCCCTGGAATTTCAAGACCACACCAAGGAGGCCCGAGGAGGCAAGTCTGGACCCGCTAGGACGTTGGAGGACTTCGAGCACTTTGAAGGCCGAAATCAGCGTCGGACTCTGGCGTTTCCATCCACGGCAGGAGCAGTGCGAGAGCCGCAGAACCGCTGGGTGTGCATCCGCAAGCACTTCTGCACCACAGCAACCAAATCCTCTTTACTCTTACAGCATCTGCTGGTACTGGGCAAGACCAGGGCAGACACCCTTGTGCTCGCAACGAAGTCTGAGGTCGTCGTGGCACGAAAGCTCACAGCAGAAGCACAAGTGCAAAACCTCTGAGCCCGTTAAAGGGACGGCGAATCTCTGTGTGCCAAAGGCGCATGCCTGACAACATATTGACAAATCCCGAAAAGTGTCAGAGTCCACCTCGCGCCGAGTTGGGTGCTGAGGCGCTGCGCTTTGGAGACACGGGGCGCGGCGAGGGCCTGGAAGAGAGGCACTTACTCTAGCTGACTCTAGCTGCGAGCTATACAGCTACATCAAGACTTAAATGGAACAAGCCCTTGGCGTCGTCGCACGGGAGCTCGTAGCCCCTCCGAACTCCTGCAAAACGGCGGGGTCTGGGTGTCAAATGCATGGAGCCCTTTAAGGGACGACACTGATGACAGCTGTGAGTTGACCGTGTCCTCGACGAGCCAGGAGACTGGGGTGGCTGGAGTTGCCAGCGACGACGGCATGGAGTACAACTTCGCCGCCTCGGCTACGTGCTCTTGGTCTGGGTGCTGATGTCCCTCCCTCCCTCCCTCCCTCTCTCCCCGTGTGTATGTATTTATGAATGCACGCATGGATGCATGCATGCGTGGATGGGTGTGTAACTTGTCGAATCTGTGAGAGAGGCTCGAATGGCAACACGCCAGCTAATGCCCTCTTGGCCAAAACCTTTTGAGGATTGGACCGGGTCTCTGCCTGATCCAGTCGGCAAGGTGCTACCACGTGGGGGATCTGCAGAGGTTCATCACTTCGGGATTGAGGGGTTCATCTGAGTAATGGCTCATCTCGAGCAGTCGAGTGTGGCTGCAAGACACGCATGCTCCCCGTTGCCGCCTGCGCTGGGGCTTCGGTCGGACTCGCTGCCCTGCAGGGCACTGCAGGGGTTGCTGAGCGATGGCTTGAAGTCCATGGAGTTTCTGGATTTCGGACTGAGTCTTGATGGTGCAGCTCTGTAGCATCACCACTGAGCAAACCCTCACTACCGTGACTGGATCGCCCGCCTGGGAGCTCCGGCTTCGACGAGGGGAGCGACCTGCATCTCCCCAACAAGAAAGGCTTTCGCCTTCTCTATTGGCACTGTTGCCTCGATTTCATGATTCGTAGCATCCGAATTGCTGTACTGCTCTTGGTGTCGTGAGACTTGAGTCTCACAAACAACCTCGCAAGAGTGGAAAACTGGATGAAAGCTGTGTTGCTCGTCTGGAATCTCCAGCTCCTTACAGTTCTACATTGCACCCTCTATACAGCACCTCAGATCCACTCTCTCAAAATGATGTGGGTGTAGGAACAAGTTACTTCTTCCTGCCTGCGCTGCCACTGCGTGAGGACTTGGCGGTCTGCCAGGACAGCGGCACATGAAAACAAAATGCCCTGACAGTGGCTGCCATGAAATCGCTGGCCACAGCGATCTACGAAGGTGCCCACGCAATTCCCTTAGCACTACCGAGCTAATGACTCCGAAGGCAGCATCCCCCGCCTCCGCGCGCCGCCGTGTGCGCGAGGCTCGCTCGGCGCTGTGCTTCGGGCCGGCCTGTGGAATGGACCCCTCCCGGCTCCCGCAGCGAAGTGCGGATTACCGAGCTCCGGGCCATCTCCACGATGCTGGCCCTCAGGGAGCGGCTGCCTCCACGGAGCCCAGTGAAGACGTGGCTCAGGTGCAGTCTAAGCAGTCTAAGCCAGAAGGCTTTCGAGGCTCAGAGTGTTTGACGTCCCTTACTAAACCCAATGGCCTTTGCTGCTGCGCCCCGGGCGTTCCTGGCGCGAAAGTAGCCGGAGATATTTGATATCAGCTTCACGAGAAGACATGTCAACGAGAGTGAGGTCTGAGGACCCCAGACCTGCACAAACCGGCACACCCTTTCAGGATTCCTAACGTTCCCGCCACTATGCTCGGGTCTGCTTCCTTACGTAGGGCACATCACCGGACAGAGCAGCGAGGCTTCTCCGAAGCTCTGCTCCCGACAAGCACGGATAACTCCAATGCAAGACGATTTGAGGACTCAGGAATCCGAAATGCACACAGGATCTATACAAGCCGCCGAAGAAGCACTATCTGCCAACATCGTCCGCTCGTCTGCACGTGACACATACGAATCGGCGAGGCTGCAGGAATGTCCTACCTAACCCCGAAACTTTTAAAATTCGAAACCCCCTTGCCCTCAACCACTAAAAACCTAAACCGCTACACCCCCCACAACCCTAAAGCCCAAAACCCTCAACCCAAGCCTCCTAAACCCTGAACCCATAAAACCTTGAAGCCCTGAACCCAAACCCAAACCCCCAAACCCAAACCCCTAAACAATAAACCCCTGAAGCCCTGCTTAACCCTACGCCACTCAACCCTATACCCCCCCCCCCCCCAAACAACCCGTAAAATCCTGCCTAGGCCCCTCAACCCAAACACAAAACCCCAAATCCCCAACCTCAGAGCACTATAACCCCTTAACCCCAAGCTCCTCAACCCCACAACTCCTGAAGCCCTGCAACCCTAAACCTCTAAACCCCTAAACCCCTGAAGCCCTAAACCCCCAAACCCTAAACTATAAACCCGTAGCAAGTAAAGCTCTCAACCCTAAGCCCTCAACCCCCAAAAACCTAAACCCCTAAACCTAAAACCCTAAAACCCTACTTAACCCTAAGCGCCTCAACCCCAAACTCCGAAAGCCGTAAATCCTCAACCCCTAAAAATCGAAACCCCTGAACCCTGAAGCCCTAGACCGTCGAACCCTAAACCTTTAACTCATAAACCGTAGTACTCTAAACCCCGAACCCTAAACCTTTGACTCATAAACCGTAGTACTCTAAACCCCGAACCCCTCAACTCTCAAAAACCTTAACCTCTAAACCCCTACACCCTCACCCCCTTAAAACCGCCCTAAGATCCTAAAACCATATACCCCGAAACCCTCAACCCCAAAAAACTAAACCCCTAACCCCGTAGCCCTAAAGCGCAAAAACATAAACTCTAAACCCGTTATCCACAACCCTAAACCCCTAACCCCT